GGACGTCACGTTCGACGAGTCGGTACCCTACTACCGCCTCTTCCCCTACCGCACTCCGTCCCTCCCCCCACCCCCGCTCTTCTTGGTACCAGTTCCCCCCCCAGTAGTCCCCCTCCCCCCTCTGGGTCCTGCCCCTTCAGGTGTGTCTCAGGTAGACGCGGTCGAGCCTGTCGAGGTCACTGGTGACTCCGGTGCTGCTGCGGGAGCTGAGCCTGGGGGTGCGGAGTCTGGGGGTGCTGTGCCTGGGGGTGCTGTGTCTGGGGGTACTGAGCCTGGGGGTGCTGAGCCTGGGGGTGCTGAGCCTGGAGGTGCCGAGCCTGGAGGTGCTGTGCCTGGGGGTGCTTCGTCTCGCCGGGAGCCGCTCTCTCCACAGGAGCTGCGTGAGTGGTTTGCCCGGCGCTGGAGGCGTGCCGCTGGTGCTGGTGGTTCTTCGGCTGCGGAGGGCGCTGCTGCCACGCGACCTGGCGGTGCTCGTCCTGTGGGTGCTGGAGCTGCTGGGTCTGAGGGTTCTCCTGGAGCTGGTCCTGCTGAGGACGTTGGCGCTGAGCCTGCGGTTGGTGGTCCGACTGACGGTGCTCCTGGTGCTGCTGCTGGAGGTTCTGGAGCTTCTGGTGGTTCTGCTGGAGGTGCTGCTGGAGTGGGTGCTCCGGCCGGAGCTGCTGGTTCTGTTCCTGCTGTTTCTGGCGTCGCCGCGCGGTCTCGACCGTATTTCGTTCCGCTCCTGGAGCAGGTTCTTGGTCTTGCTCCTCCTCCTCCTCCCTTAGAGGGTCCGCAGCCTGTCCGGTCACAGCCACAGCTAGAGCCTGCCTCCCCTTTGCCTGCTCCTTCTCCCTACGCTGGTCCGACTGGAGGCCTTACTGAGCGTCGTGAGCCTGCGTCTCGTCCTGCGTCGCCTGTTCGTACTGAGCGCGCTAGTGGTCGCGGGTCGCGTCAGCGTCCTCCTCCTGTCCCTGGCACGCACCGGATGTCACTGCGTCCGTCCACTGCTCCTCTGCGTGCCCCTTTGCCTTCTCCTCCTGCTTCCTCTCTTCCTGCTCTTGCCGACCCGGAGTCGGACTCTCTTCGTGCTGCCAGTCCTACTGTCACGCGTCTCCTTGCTACTGCTGTCACTGACCCTTCCTTCGAGTCGTCTGCTGCGTCTGCCCTTGTCACTGAGCTTGTCGACTTTGCTGCGCGCTGTCGTCTAGACTACGCTGCTCGTCTTGTCGCTGAGTCAGAGTCCGCCTGTCCTCCGTCCGTCGGGGGTGAGTGTGCCCTTGGCACGGACGTCCTAGAGGACAGGCAGGAGGAGTTCCAGTGTCTAGCCGCTGCTTCACCTCGTCTCGCGTCTGTACTGCTAGCCCCTGAGGGAGACCCGGATGCACTAGACATCCCGACTCCGCGTTCTTACGCGGAGGTCGTAGAGGGTCCCTACTCCTCTCAGTGGCAGGCAGCTATGGATGCAGAGATGGCTTCCTGGAAGTCCACAGGCACCTACGTTGACGCGGTTCCCCCTCCTGGGGCGAACATCGTCAGTGGCATGTGGATCTTCAGGGTGAAGCGGCCGCCGGGCTCGCCGCCTGTCTTCAAGGCGCGTTACGTGGCTCGTGGCTTCAGTCAGCGGCAGGGAGTTGACTACTTTCAGACCTTCTCTCCCACCCCGAAGATGACCACTCTTCGGGTGCTGCTGCACATTGCCGCTCAGCGCGACTACGAGCTTCACTCTCTCGACTTCAGCACTGCGTTCCTGCAGGGTAGCCTGCACGAGGAGATCTGGCTGCGCCGTCCGCCTGGCTTCACTGGGACTTTCCCTCCTGGCACCCAGTGGAGCCTCCGACGGCCAGTCTACGGTCTCCGCCAGGCACCGCGTGAGTGGCACGACACACTGAGGACTACGCTTGCGGCTCTTGGGTTTGCTCCTTCTACTGCTGACCCGTCGCTGTTTCTTCGCACCGACACTTCCCTGCCGCCGTTCTACATCCTCGTGTACGTCGACGACTTGGTCTTTGCCACAGCGGACACTGCTGGACTCGCCTACGTGAAGTCCGAGCTGCTGAAGAGACACACGTGCACAGACCTGGGTGAACTGCGCAGCTACCTTGGCTTGCAGATCACTCGGGACAGAGCACGCCGCACCATTACCCTGACTCAGTCACACATGGTGCAGCAGGTCCTTCAGCGCTTCGGCTTCACGTACTCCTCGCGTCAGGCCACTCCTCTGCCTACTCGCCACTCACTCTCAGCTCTGCCTTCGGATGAGTCCGTAGAGTCGAGTGGTCCGTATGCAGAGCTTGTTGGCTGCCTCATGTACCTGATGACCTGCACACGACCTGACCTTGCATACCCTCTGAGCATCCTTGCACGCTATGTTGCTCCTGGGAGACACCGACCAGAGCACATGGCTGCAGCGAAGAGGGTATTGTGCTACCTGTGCAGTACGTCGGGCATGGGGCTAGTGCTTGGAGGGCGGAGTCCAGTGGTCCTTACTGGGCACGCAGACGCTTCTTGGGCTGACGACCAGGCTACGCAGCGGTCGTCACAGGGTTACACCTTCAGCCTTGGTTCCGGCTCTGTCTCGTGGCGGTCTACTCGCTCGTCTTCGGTTCTCGGCTCCAGTTGTGAGGCTGAGATCTACGCCGGGGCCATGGCTGCACAGGAGCTTCGCTGGCTCACCTACCTGCTGACTGACCTTGGAGAGCTGCCTCGTTCTCCTCCAGTGCTGTACGTAGACAACAAGGCCATGTTGGCCTTGTGTCGAGAGCAGCGCTTGGAGCACAGAACGAAGCACATTGCTCTCCGCTACTTCCTTGCTCGTGAGCTGCAGCAGCGTGGTCAGTTGCGACTTGCTTACGTGGCCTCTGAGGCCAACACTGCTGATGTGTTCACCAAGGCACTTGCGCCTTGCGACCATCAGCGCTTTTGTACCCAGCTGGGTCTTGTACCTGTCTTGCCTCACTTGCTCTCTTCTTGACTTTACTTGTACTTTGACATATATATATACCTGCTCTTGCTTGTCTAGTTTTATACATATGTCTGTACTCCTGCATGTGAACTGGCCTCTGGCCTTGCTCTTGTGCTCGGACTGTGTGGTGACTTTGTGATCCACCCTGAGCTTGCTTTGCTTTGCTTGACTGGTCTTGTGACCCCTTGTTCTCCCCCACTTTGCCTATGGGGGTGTGTCAGATTATTATAGCTGATGCATGTTTGTAGGCCATAGTGGGGTAGCACATATGGGGTACAGTTTGCTAGGGTTGTATTTGTACCCAACTCTGACTTAGTCAATTCATTCCTGTTCATTCCTTTCACACAATCCTGATTTTGGCAGGGTAATCCTGAAAGAGCGGCCGGCCCCCAGGGTAATCAGGGCGTTTTACCCTGATATTTTGGGCCTTGCCCTTTGCGCACCCCACTTTCCACGCATTACGTTACCACTGTAGTTTAGCTATATATTCTTCGCTCATACCTTCGCTCATTGTACTTAGATAGTGCAATTCTCGCTCGCTCACTCAATTGCACTAATAACACAGAGCCGTTTCAGACCACTCGTTCAGCGTTTGAAACCGTGATGCAACAAGAGGAACCGCATAGTATGAACTGTAAACGAACGCGCTGACCTCCCCGTCAGCACCCCCAACCTGCCGCCCCTTGGACCTCACCCGCTCTCCCCGCACCCCTTGTTCGCCGCCCCATTATCCTTTCCCTTGTTCCAGCGCCACCTCCCACCCATCTTTAACGATCGATATCGTACTGTATCACTTTTCTCAAATCCCACAACCTCCATCTCGTCTCGCTTCCCCATCGTGTTCCCTGTCACCGCATTTCCAGAAATATCTTCCCCATCCCTCCTTACCTCTCGACCTGTACAACCAGTCCATTCCTTGCCATTATGGCTCTCACATTTCATCAGCTTAACATGCGAAGCAAAAAAGCTGCTCGTCTCGCAGCCTCTGTCGCGAACTAAAGCAGCTGCAACGATCGACGTGCGGCTCCTTGAGTCGCCGCTGTACTTGTTTGAACGCATCTGCCGCGCATTGCATCAGATCCGTGCCACGCCATTCGTTAGCGTAGCCAGCGGCCAATCCCGTCGTCGATCCACGATGTCAACGGCCATAGTCAACGGGCGTGCAGCTGTTACGACGGGTGGCAATTTCAGCAACCGACGGGGACTGCCCGAATATTTACTCGGAGCATTATCTATTACCGTCGACTATTTACCTCCAGTGCTTCGCCACATTCCTGTTGTTGAACGCATCTGCCACGCATCGCATCTCACCACTGATGAGATGAGTGCCACTCCGTTAGCCTAGGGTTTTACCCTACAGCCCGTCGCCGTGCCTCAATGTCAACGGCAACTGTCAACGACGGACGGGCGTCCAGCTCCCATGACACCGACCGACCGAACGGGGGGCACTTCCGGCGCATTTACTCGGAATATTTGTTGTCACCGTAGACTAAAAATACCCTCCAGTTGCTTCAGCATACCATTCATCGTGGGACTTCCAGGCGGATCTGGCTTGGTGCTGCTAGAGTAGTAATACCGAGCAACGGAAACCTCCATATTTCGCGCACTGGCCCGAGTCTTCCTCTCCTCCCGTCACGCGAGGTGCCTCAAGCTTCTGACTTCGTAAACAGCTCATGTAGCCGTTGCACGGCCCCGTGATATGCGCGTCACGGAGACGCTCAAGCGTTGAACTTTTTTCACTTCTTCGAGCGGTGCTGCTACTACCGGCGCCGGGAGCTACTAGGGAAAACAATACCGGGCGGGAAGAACGGATCGTCATGGCTGGGAACGTCGTTCGACAAAACCGCGCAGACTCGTGCTAGTAGTACCTGCTGCTAATAGCCACGATAACGAGCCTACTGGTAGTAGCAGCCACAATCACGTTCTTACTGCTGCTACTAATCGGTACGACCTCGCAGATCTTGTGATTCCGGTGGAAACCCCCCGCGGAGCCAGTTTTTCCGCCGTGCGCAGCCCGCACGCGGAAGTTGTTCGGCGGAAAGCCGCGCCGTCGCTCGAGATGGACGCGCAGTGGCGCGACGATGCGGCGGTGGTGGCGGCTTCCGCGAAGCCTGCGCGCAGCGGATGCTCAGCTGCAGAAGGCGCAAGCGTTAAGAAAGGCGCAAGTGACAAGAAAGACGCACGCGCAATCTCGGGCGGCAATGGCGCAAAGGGCGGTCACGGAAAGCATCGCCGCCGCCGCGGAAGCAGCGCCGTCGTCGGGAAATGCGGCGCCGCCAGCGGTTACCGGTCTGACGACAGCAACGCCGGCGCGGACTTCGGCGGGTGTTTCCGCCTCTTCAGCCCGCGCCGCGCGAAAATCGCTCCGGGTGCGCGGAAGATAAGCGCCGCGGGTTCCGCCACAGGTGTTCGACAGGGTTCCGCCATGGGTGTCACCCAGGTTCGACCGGGTTCGAACAGTGTTCGACCAGGTTCCGCCACGGGCGTTCGACCGGGTTCCGCCACAGGTGTTCGCCCAGATTCCGCCACAGGTGCTCGACCGCCTGTGCGGGGGGCTTCCGCTGACCATTTCCGCTTCCGCCGGTCGCGGTCGACGTCGCACTTGGATGAGCGACGCGGCGCCGGCGACGGTACCAATGGCAGGACAGAAAACACCGACGGCGGAGAGGGATGGGGAGAGTGGGGAACAGGGGAGGAGAAAGGGGAAGCGGGAGGGGGATGGGGAGAGCAGGGGGGAGGCGGAGGAGTTGGAGGAGGGGAGCTTTCATTGTTCGAAGGGGCGGATGGTAAAGCAGCAGCACAAGCATCTCGGCAAAAGCGGGAACAGCAACAGCTTTCTTTTCCCGCCAACACCTCTTCCGCCTCGCCTCGTTTTGCCGCCGCGGCACCTTCATCTCGCTATCCGCCCCATGCGCCCCATTCGCCCCATCCACCTGCGTCGCCGTCGCCTCGTCAAGCGCCCTACCCTCGATCTCGACTGACCCGTCACCTCGTCTCGTCACCGCGACTCGCCCGCCTCCTCGCCACCTCGTCGCCTCATCACCGCACGGGCCACGGGCAGCGTACCCCCGGTCCGCCGCCGTCGCACAACCGTCGCGCAGCCCGCAGAGCAGCGTCGGCGACAGAACGCGACTTTGTGACCTTCGAAAATCTCGCGAATCTCGGGAATTTCGAGAGTCTCGAGAATACCGAAGAAATCGAGGATTTTGAAGTTCTTGAAGGGGCAGGCTCTAGTATGTACGGGTATGGTTACAGTCGCGCCGCGCCTCAGAGCAACCGCGCCGTCCGCAGAACATGGTCCACTGTAGAACGCGGCGCGCCTCGCGCTTTCCCCGCCACGTCCCCTCGTGCTTTCTCCGCCTCACCCCCTTCCTCCGGAGGTCGTTCCGACTCGCCTCGCTTCACGAATGCCCGCGGCTCTGCAGCTACTACTCTTGTCTGCAACACAACCGTCCGTCACGATAACCATCTCAACTATGACGAGGGCGACTGTGACGAAGACGATGGTAACGATAACGACGAGGGAGCCGTGACGGCGCGGCCAGTGCAGCGGGAAGGCGCACAAGGCGCAGAAGGCGCAGCAAGGGGAGTTCCTGCCAAGGTGCAGTTTGTGGGGGAACGAGTGGGGAGGCGGGGAGGCTTGGACAGGAAGAACCAATCGCCTACTAGGAACGCTCCAGAATCGTTCGTTGGCAGCACAACACCAACCTGCCCACACAAGCCTTCCCCTTCCCATTTCCCCCGCCCTCCTCCCCTTACCATACACCCATGTCAACCAGACTCGCCAGACTCCTCCTCCCAGTACCCTTCCTCTCCCTGCCATTCCCCCACTTTCCCCTGCCCCGCCCTCCCCACCTCCTCACCCACCCTCCCTATCTCCTCCCCCAACCCCAACCTCAACATGACCACCCCCATTCCCTCTTCCGTCTCCCCATCCAAGCCCCCGCGCTTCCCCACTCGTTCCCCCAAGATTTCCCCCTCTTCCTCCATCAAACTCTCCCCCTCTTCATCCATCAGAGCCTCGAACTCTGTTGACATTCCAGGAGGGGAGCAAAGAGCACAGCAATGTTCAAAGATGCACCAAAATGCACACCACTTGATAAGTATTGACCCGCACACGCGGCACTTCGCAAGGTCGCAGAGTGATGACTGCATCCCCTTAAAAGGCACACAGACCAGAAGTCCTGGTAGGCTGTTATTCCCTCTAGAAAGCACACAGTCTGCTATACAGGTAAGGAGCTCTGGAGGGGTTGACAGGAGGAGGCCTCTTGTGTCGCAGCTAAAGAGCCCTGTCAGGTCGGGAGTATTGCTGGCGGCAGGAGGTGAGACAGCAGACACGGAAAGCCCATTTCCTCCCAAGACCCCTGTCAAATCGTGTTTGTTAATGGCGGATGGTGGTGGGAGTGGGAGTGGGAGTGGGAGTGGGAGTGGGAGTGGGTGTGGGAGTGGGTGTGGGAGTGGGTGTGGGAGTGGGAGTGGGTGTGGGAGTGGGTGTGGGAGTGAGTGTGGGAGTGGTAGTGGAAGTGGGTGTGGGAGTGGGAGTGGTGGGTTGGGAGGGAGCGGCAGACTGAAGAAGCAGGTGTCATTCAACAAGGTGGTGCGTATTCGCCGGTTTCAATCGTGCGAAGCTTTTCCAGACTTAGGTATAGGTTGACCTAACAAAACAAGGAGACTTCAGACTGTATGGCAGGGCTCACAAGGTTTTGGGGCTGTCTGACAGTACCCTGAAAAAAAATTCCCCGGTCTTACGCTCGGACAACGAAATTTACATGGTCTGCATTACCGTGTTCTCCCGGAGAAAACACCCTAGGGTATTATGAAAACCACCGGAAAAAATGGGGGGGGGGTCTCAATGGAATATCCTACATAATACCTGGGTCTTATTATTGCCCCCCATGGGGGTATATCCGGGGGGTGACGGTTTTATGAAGCAGAAATGATGTGAAACAAAATGTGGGGTGTCACTTCACTTATAGATTGTTGATCAGTACCGCAAAACCGAGTATACGAGGATTACGTGACCGCCCACTGGAATCTGCCACATGGCAAATTTTAGTGGGCAACTCTGGCACCTGATAGGGCAAAAACATAGCCAGCCTTGCGTAGCGAGAGTTCATGCAACCGCCGAGGCCGGAATCGCACACGGTGTTGCGTTGTCCTTGCAGCAGTCACGTCTTGACTGGTTTGGGCACGTCCCTGTGCCTCAAAAGGTTCTCTCACCTTCTCTTTGTGCAGCGGTTCCAGTGCACGATACTGAAGAGTGCTCGGCAGGCTGTGAGAGCGCCATAGTCCTGCACTCAAGCATCTTTGTTTATACCGTAGCCATTTCTGCCATGGCGAGTGACACCTGATTCAACCTGCAGTAGACTAGAATGGCTTCCTCACCCGATTCAAGCAGTACGGCAGTTAGGCGGCAGTGGCCTTCTAACTCTCAGTCTGCCGCTGCTGCACGCCCACAGACGTCGCCTCGCCCCGTCTTGCCCCAGCCGTCTCCTCCTGGTAGTGCTTCTACCAGGGATGAACCGAGCAGTAGCTCTGAAGCCCCTCGCCCTCCCCTTCCACGAGTGGCTGTCCCCACTTTCCCGGAGAGTAAGCGCCCGCAGGGACAGACGAAACGCTACGCGGATGGTGAGACACCATCCCCTCGCCATCGTATGACGAAGAAAGTGCGTCACGGGATCACTGTGAAGGAAAAGTTGCACTGGCTGAAGATGCAAGACGCTCAGCCCGATCTTGGGAATCGCGCCCTGGCAAAGCTCGCGAAGGTGCAGCCCTGCCAGATCCGCGACTGGAAGAAGCTGAGGGAACGGCTGGAGGTCGCATCTAGCTGCCGCCGTCGCCTCGTGGGTTCCGGCCGCAAGGCGAAGTACCCGTTCATGGAACGGGCGGTCTACTGCCATTTCCTTTCCCACCGGGCGAAGGGCCTCGCCGTCTCGGTCCGCATGCTCCAGCAGTGGAGCTCCAAGTACATGAAGCACCGGATGGCGTCGGTCGATTGGTGCGCTTCGTTCCGCTGGGCGACACATTTCCGCGCGCGCTGGCACTTGGCGAGGCGGGTGAAGACGAAGATGGGGCAGAGGTTGGCCGCCGGTAAGTTTATTATTTAGTATGCTTGTGTTTTTTTCCACGAAGTTGATCTAATGCTTGCCGTGGCACTGTCTGCAGATTGCAAGGAGAAGGTGGAGTCGTTCTGGGAGTTTCTGCGCCAGATGTGCACTGTGCACAGGGAGGCCTTCGTGGTGCTCGACTCCTACCGCGGCCACTTGACGGAGTCCGTTGGTCAGACAATGTGAATGTTCAGGTCGTCAAGGGCAGTCATCCCAGGGGGCTGCACATCGCTTGTGCAGCCCCTGGATGTGTCGGTGAACCGCGCGTTCAAGTGCGGGGTGCGTTCCTGCTACACCGGATGGTTTGAAGAAGATGACATCAACCTGACCACTCGCGCAGGTGAGTTCAAGTCATGAAAACCCGTTGCGTAACTTTCGTTTACGTGACAGAGCACGCTTTGCCGATATACAGTCCTAATTCTTAATCCCACCCCTACCCACAGGTAACGTGAAGAAGCCGCCTGCGGACTTGGTTCTCCGCTGGATCGACGAGTCCTGGGAAGCTGTCCCAGAGGAGCTTGTGAAGAAATCTTTCGTCACCACCGGGATCTCCGCCAAGATCGATGGCACTGAAGACCACCTCATCCTTGCCCACATGCGGGACAAGGGTGAGGTGGAGGTCCTTGACGACGTCAACGACCTCGTTGACGACGAGGTCGTCGTCAACCCGTTCTACACCGAGGCCCCCGTGCCGCCCGAGGAGCTGCAGGCGGCAGAGGAGGATGACGCCACAGAGGAGGCAGCGGAGGCGGTAGAGGAGGAGTGGAATGCGCCTGAAGAAGGTGGTGAGGCGGGAGAGTGCAACGATGATGATGATGACTGGTGGCGCCCTGGCCGCTACGACGGAGAGGAGTGTGAAGAGTGGAACGCAGAGGCCAATGTGGAGGAGGAGTAGGCAGCACAAGGAGAAGCACCATAGAGCAAAGACAGAGTTAGGAGGTGATGTTAGTGCTGTTTCTGAGTAAATGATGGGTGTAGGTGCTGTTTGCCATACTTCCGTAGTAGAATGTACCCCTAACTGTGTGAAATTTAATGAATTTGCATTTTTTCCCGCGCATAACACCCACCCCCCGGGTCTTATAGAGAATCACCCCAAAAGGGGGGGTATAGTACTAACGAGGTCGGATATAACAACCACCCCGTATTAGCTACCAGGGGGTGTACAATTACGGGGGGGTGTTTTATCCGGGAGAATACGGTATAAGCTGGAATAGTTTTTCTAGTCTGACAAATAAGACATTTTTTTTTCCAGGGTACTGTCAGACAGCCCCAAAACCTAGCGAGAGCCCTGCCTTGAATCATCCACAGGCTGCAAGTTCGGTGGAAAGCCACCATATTTGGAAATAAATGATAAGTGACGGGCTCTTAAAACAGAAGAACCTTCACCACCATAATTTTTCACCAGAGAGGGACCTTTTCAAATGTTACTGAGAGGTCCGAGTGTTTGAGTGTTATGGGTAGGACTCTGCAGATTGCTCCTAGGATTATGCCGCTGCCTGCAGCAGGGTCTGCTTGTGCTACTGCGCTACCAGCTAGAATTGTCTGAACTGAAGAGGCTCGGTTACAGTGAATCATGGTAAAGAGCTACTGGAACTATTATACCTGAAGATGGACTGATCCTTCTTGGCAGCATATGCCGCGGTTACATGACAGCGAGGCTGCTATAAGACACGTGTATTGAATGCGCGTGCTGTTACAGAGCAGTAAATGGCTGTACCTGTGGTCCTATTCGCTGGTCCACTGGGCGTATGGCCTAGTCGGTCAAGATGTCGGTTTCAGACAAAACCGAACTCGATATCTGTATATTCAGATTAAGAATTCTACACGTCTGGAAAAATCATACGAACCTAAAACGCATATCTTACTGATCAGATGAGAACAAACACAGATTCTTAGGAAGCAGATGAATACAAAAAATCAAGTCTTAAACTCAGACCATCAGACCAAATTGGTCTGATAACGAGAGCCCTGCTGTATGGAGTTTCTTGTTGGCAAATAAACTAGGTTATCTGACATAACCCCAGGAAGGAAACGTAGCAGTCATACAAGCTCAGTCACTCTGTTCTGTCACATCCCCTCTACAACGTTAATCAGCTGATACCTGCAATATCTCCTCACACTGGTTGAACGCGAACGCGTGCATTACCACTATCTATCTCCTATGGGTTACTCTACATGTCTGTGTTAGCAGACACGTGTTACCTAACTTGGGATAGGCTACAAATCTCTTATGTATCGAGTCACATTGTCATTTCTATTTTGTTATTAAGTTTTGACTTGATGTGTGTACTGGTTCAAACTCAACTCTGCATTATTTGGAGTATGGCATACTATTCTGTTACGATATGAAGTTATGTGAGAAGGCATTCCTCTATGCTGCAGGAGCCGACTCTACCGAGTACGAAGTCGAGGAGTCAGAAGAGTCGAAGCGACGGAACAACTGTCTGACCAAGACCGATGCAGGCAGAAATATTTGAAATGAAAAGAGCGGGAACAGGTTTGAAACCGGTTCCCGCGCCGCACGGTTTGAATTCGCAGCAATAAGGGAATGTACCCCTTAGAGTACATGGCTAGTCTAGATCTTTTCGTATTCCCTTGTATTCCTACATAAACTCGATGTATGCATGCTATTATCAATCTCAGTCATTTACATTCACTCTAACGTGAGTTCACTACTTCCGCTGCAATACTACTCTGCGATCAACCCTGAGCGATCCTTCGCTAAGTCCCATTTGGGATTGTAACATGGTATGAGAGCTACTCAGGGATTCTTCTCAACGTCACTTCCGTAAAATTCGCCAAACCCAAATCTGGCGAGCAGCACAAGCTCCAAGACCAAGATGGCCGGAGGATCCGGAGGCCAAGCAAATCTGACGGCAGAAGGACAAACCAACCTGACTATGACAAATGAGGCAACAACCACGATCGCCACTGCCGCACTCAAGCAGTCATTCGCTCGACTCTCAACTATGGAGAAAGAACTCCAAGAATTGCGCAAAGGCGATGCGGGAACATCTTCCCAATCAGTTCAACCTGGACAACCGGCTGCAAAATGCCGCGATACCGCCGCACAAACCTTCTCCCTTGACACAGACATATCAACAACAACCGCCCCCTGTCCAAGTGATGAAGTCATCAACTCTGCGCAAGCACACTTTCTCAGCGTTTCAAAAATTAAGACTACCGCCGCTTTTGACAGCAAGGACTTCTATACATGGAGTTTCGAGCTTGAGCTCCTCCTACAGACAGCGGAGATATACCATTCCTTTGACGGCTCCTACCCTAAACCGGTGGACGACACCGACGACGCCAGGGCTCAGTACTACAGCGAGTCCCTCATGACATACATTGTGCTGCTACGAAATATGACGCTTGCAGAACAACTCAGCATTTACTCCTACAAAGAGAGTGCCGCTCCAGCCTTGAAAGCCTGGAAGCACCTCGCTGAGGATTCGGTTACCGCGAGCAGGCGAAGGATCCGGTTACCGCCAGCAAGCTCCTACAGCAACTGATGGAGACAAAGATGGGGCACAGGGAGAAAGCGAATTCTTATATTAACCGCTGTCGGAACATCTGTGACCAGATCACAAAGCACGCAATCTTGGAAGAAATCTTCGTCAATATAGTCCTTCAAGGACTCGGGCCAGAGTGGAAGCCCTGTAAAGCGCTACTCCGACAGCGAGGAATCCTCTTAGAAGCCGTGCTATGCGCCGCACTCGTGACTGAACAGCAGAACATGGACTTGAGCAGAACAAGCTCTGCACCGCGCAGAGAGCGCCTCGCCTTCTTCGCAGACAATCGTGAAGAGCGACGACAGCCAAGGCGCCACTATTGCAAAATATGCAAAGTCTTCGGACACTCAACGGATCGATGCAAATCCCGATCCAATTATCGCCACCTGAATTCCACTCACCACAACAAATGGGTCGGCCAACAAGACGCTCGTCATTCTCAGCCTCAACATTAGACCTCTCGTCCCCCTGCACAGCATCAACATCAGCAGCCATAAGGACCTCAATCAGGAGCTTCTAGAAACATTATCTCGAATATGGCGACGCGACGACATCGGACTGCTGAACCAGACGAAGAGGACGAACCCCGCGGAGAGCTGATTGAACTAGAAGAGGGATGGAATAATCCCCTCACAGAAGACCACTACTACCAGTATGATGAAGACGAGCAAGATTGGCATCTACCAATAATACTGCGGGAAAGCCCGCCACACGACAATCAGTGTTACGTACCTGTGGGATGGAAAGAAGACAAAGACCCATTCTTCCACAGACGCTACAAGGCGACCCTGGTGACTCCGCGACTCGCGGTGCTCCTGCGCAAAAGCAACACCGACAACTACAATATCTGATACCTAGATAGCTGTTGTGGACAGCATATGGTGGGATCTGTTTGATACGTCTCAAACCTCAGCTGCGCTCCCGCCACCTACGTGATCGTCGCCAACAATGAGTAACTGCGCGCCAATGCACAAGGCATCGTGCATCTGCAAGCACGAGACAGAAACACTCACATCTCATTCAACGGCGTGCTTTACGTCCCGGATCTCCGCTTCAACTTACTATCACCAGGACAACTCCGAGACTCCGGAGTCATGCTCGCCACGGATCCAGATACACGCGACCTCCTCCTTACCTACGCACCTCGGAACACTCCTCCTGAGTCACACAAGTACCTGGGGCGGGCTCGATCAATCAACGGCATCTCGTCTTGGAGTTTGACATACCAAGCTGTCAAGCCTCATCAGATGAGCTCGTGGACCTCATCCCGCTTGACTTCCCCTTCATGAGCCAGGAGTCATGGCAGCATCTAGACGGACGGCCGTGGATTCCTCGCAGTCCTCACCCTCGTGAGATCAACTTGCACGAGCCCGACATCAATGGTCTCTGCACCACCTGCCACACACCCACGGCGAGCCGCACAAAATAAGTGGAAAGAGATTATGCAGCAATCCAAGAAGCGGAGAGCGCCGAGGCAGAACCCACGAGCATGGCTGAAATGGAACTTGCAGTTACCGCTCACCGCATCTTCGGTGAAGGTGACGATGAACGCGGCTTAATGCCGCAGGAGCATCCCACGCCGCGCTTCAACACACTTCACTTCGTCCTCAGAGCCAACACTGGGACTCTCGACGAAGAAGGTCGTCCACGCCCTTACCCCCACGACGTCTATCCCACGGAGATTGACCCGGCCTGGAAAGATCCTGACATAAAGGGAGAACTCAGTGTCAAGGAAGAACGAGACAAGGCCAAGCCAAAGAAGAAGCAAAAGCTATATAAAGAGCACATCGTGGAAGGATGGGACGAAGAATCAGCGCGACGCGGCGCATGGGGGGATGATGATTACGTACCAAAAGAAGGCGCAACCTGGGGATCCGCTTCTGGCGCTTCGGGACTGTTTAAGGATGGGGACCCAGCGCTAGTGGCATGGTTACCACAGGAGGATGGGGAAATACCGAACCCGACGAAGGCGAGCTTACGCGAGAGGAATTGGAGGAAAATGAACGAGAAATGAAAGCTGAGCGCTGGGAGCAATCTCCCCGTGTCATCATCCCGCTCGGACGACCTCCACGAGTCGCTCACCTCCTCGTTCACCTTATCAATAGGACGATCCCTGGTCGGAGATTGAGGAGGGGAATGTACCACCAACTCCTCCGCGTGACTCACTTGGTCCAATCTCCCGCCCAGATCCATTCACTCGCTTCATCGAAGGTACCAAGACGCCGCTCAATATCATCCCCGACCGCGAATTTCTCACCCTCTGTCAGATTATCATAGCTGATGCATGTTTGTAGGCTATAGTGGGGTAGCACATATGGGGTACAGTTTTCTAGGGTTGTATTTGTACCCAACTCTGACTTAGTCATTCCCATTCCTGCTTACA